ACTTGGGTAAAAACATGCTTTTTATCATAATACAGCCTTGCACTTGGCTCGCTACAAGAATTTTAAAAAGATTTTATTGTCAAGAATATAACAGGTAGCAAATTCTTCACCATCCTGGATCCAGAAAGGAATAATGGCATCCAGCACTGCAAGACAGACTTCCACATCCTAACTCTCTACTGGACCAACTGGAAAATTAGGTCCTTCTCTCTCCTATGTAGTTTCTACAGAAGAATTTTAAACATGGAGGTAAGTGCACCTTATATGAAAAATACAACAGTGATTCAAATTATGGTTGCATTATAGAAATTAAAATGTGTCTTTGAGTTTGTCTTGGAATACAGCGTGATGTGTTGTCCGTGTCTACATTTTTCAAAAGTACCTAAGTGACTTAAGAGCCTAAATCCAATTTTCAAAAGAGTCTTAGGCATGGAGGAGCCTGTCTCATGGAATATCACTCTTTCTTTAGTGTTTGTCACTTTTGAAAATTTGAATTGGGATCCTAAGTAATTTAGGATTGCTTGTAAATGTTACCCCATTTCTTCAAGTCCTAGACCCACTGAATTCAATGGAAGTTTTCCCATTGATTTCTTAGCCCCAGGATTTCACCCCATCCAAGAGAAGAAACATCTACACAAACTGGTAACATAGACTTTCACACTTCTCCAGTCCAACAGGTTCTTTTGGTCTCAGTGACTGATAGTTAGGAATCATGGAAGATGAGGGTTGGAAGAGATCTCAGGAGGTCATCTAGTGCAACACCTGCACAAAGCAGGACCAACCCTAACTAAATCATCCCAGCCAGGGCTATGGTTAAGCTTGGAGCTAAAAACCTCTAAGGGTGGAGATTCCACCACCTCCCTAGGCAACCCATTCCAGTGCTTCACCGCCATTCTAGTGAAATAGTTTTTCCTGTTATCCAACCTAGACCACCCCCACTGCAATGTGAGATCATTGCTTCTTGTTCTCTCATCTGCCACTACTGAGAATGGCCTTTCTCCATCCTCTCTAGAATCTCCTTTCCTCTTCTTAAGAAAGAACTCTCTCTTCCCCATCCACACACACCTTTTTCTGAAAGAGTTCTTTCGGAAAAAGGCTTCTTCCTCGTAGAAAGAGGTTTACCAATGTCAGAAAAACCCCTCTGTTCTTTCGATTTTCTTTCAAAAGAATGTGCTTGTAGTGTGGATGTAATTGAAGTTTTTTCAGAAAAACGGCTGTTTTTCTGAAAAAAAACCCTCTGTAGTATAGACATGCCCTCTGAGGCTGAAGATTATGTGGGCATGGCATCTGAACTTCCTTACCAATCCTACAATTGGTTGAGTTCAGTGGGGGAGAAAGAAATGGGAAAATCTCCCCTCCCCTCTTCTGAGGATAGCCAGAAATAAATAGAATAAATTTTGCGCTCTTCAGAAACTCAAAGTTCATTCAAAAACTGAAAAAAACAACAAAGACAAAAAAGTCTAACCAGCAGCTAACTCTTTTTCACGGACGTATCTAACCCCAGTCTTAAGAGTCAATAATGTGCCCCACCCTCTGCTGATTTACTGGAAAGAAAAGGAAACATACCTAAAAGTATAACTAAAGTAGAAACTTCTGCACTGTGGAGTACTACAAGAAAATCTTGCCCATTCTGACTCATTTTAGAAATGTCCAGTGTTAAAAGTTAGGTCACGTGGGTGAGGTGCATTTGGAAATGAAGTTTTCAGTTAAAAAAACCCCACAACATCACACTTTACCGTTTAAACATTTTGAGTTAGATTGTCAGTAACCCTCACACAGTCCTGCAGGGCAATAAGGTCCCCTCAGCTGACCAGTGCTGTTGTGTTGCATCATTCCATTGAGTCTTGTCATCTATGGTTCCCCCTCCAATAAACAAACAGGCAAAGATGAGGCAGAGCCACAGCTGCACTCCTCCATGCAATGGTAAGAAGAGATGGCTGCGCATGAATTTCAGGGAAGTAGGTTACTCCCTTTGCTGGGCTGGGCTACAATAAATTACCTTTCTTAGTTTGCTAGAAAGAGGATTTATATTCGTTCTCTGGGTCTGCCTGGGGGATGGTGGAGAATTTCTCAAGTATATTTCATACTTATTTGGCTTTTGTTTGTTGCAAATATTTTATACTGAGTTATATTTCATAGATGGTTCGTGACAGTTACAAAGGTTTCTGTACATTCAGTGCTATCTTCATGAGAAATGTTTCATTTCTTCCAGACTTCTGGGCATAGCAAAATGGTTAGAATTTTCTGTAAAGATAAAGAGCACTGAGCACAGCAAAATATGATATATCATAAACACTTGGTAAAGACCACAAGGAGGTAGTGGGTGTTCACTCCCTGGGCACTCATTCAATTCCCATGAGGTATGTACGTCTGTGGAACCAATATGGCCATCAGTTAATTGGCAGGTGAGGATGGAGATTAAGCCATACTGACCTAATTGTGAACAATAACGCCATATTTTCCTGAAATAAAAAAAAAGTTCCTTTTGGCTGTTTCTAACTGATTTTTTAAATACAATGTTCCAAATTCTGACTCATTCCCTCCTGGGATTTCATGAGCGTACACAAAGCAGAATTTGCCCTATGGCATACATTTATAGATTTTTAAGGCCAGAAGGAGCCATTATGATTATCTAGCCTGTCCTCCAGCATAACAGGCAATAGACTCTCCTGCAGTAATTTCTGTATTCAATATGTTCTGTATGTCTGATTAAAAAAAACTATCTTCTGTTCTGCAGAATATTTTTGTGTTGAAAAATTAAAAAAGCAAGATCCATCTAGATTCTGTGTGCTCACAAGCTGTTCCATTTCAATTTGGAGGGTGGGAA